TCGAAGCTCTTTACGGTCGCAAATGCAGATCACCCCTGTGTTGGGCTGAGGTGGGGATACAACAGCTAGCTAGAGGGGCAAGTCTCTAATAGCACCTCACTGGCACCTGAAATCATAAGGGAAAACCATAGACAAGATCGTTCAAATTCGAGAAAAGACTGAAAGCGTCTCGCGATCGGCAAAAGAGTTATGCAGACAAACGACGCAAACCCTTGGAATTCCAGGTGGGTGATCGTGTACTACTAAAAGTTTCCCCTTGGAAAGGAATGATACGATTCGGCAAACGCGGGAAACTAAATCCAAGGTACATCGGGCCATTCGAAATCCTTGCTAGGATTGGGCCAGTAGCATACAAAACTTCGATTACCTCAGGAACTCGACAAAGTACATCCCACATTTCACGTGTCGAACCTAAAGAAGTGTGTTTGTCTGATGAGACACTCGTAATACCACTCGACGAAAGAGAAGTTAACGAAAATCTCCACTTCGTGGAGGAACCAGTCGAAATCATGGATTGGGAATCAAACGAACGAAACAAAGTCGTATTCCCATCGTGAAGGTCCGTTGGAACGCTAAACGAGGACCACCCGAATGCACCTGGGAACAGCGAGGATCAGATGAAACAAAAGTATCCACATCTCTCCCGAACTCTTGAAGTCCCAGTCAAAAGATGCAAATTTCGGGACGAAATTTCTTCTAACGGGGGGATGATGTGAACACCGTCAAATTCAGTCAAGTCAAAGTCAAACAGTCAACAAGAACAAGTCAACCGGTCAAACTCCATTAACCCTTGTATGTTAGTGTTTACGTTGTACAATTCGCTATTTTAATGAGAAAAACATCATTTGGAAAAAATTCCTGTGTTTGATTTTCCTTAGCCTTAACAGTGCTAAACAAACGAACCAAAGCGATAAAACACTATTGCACATTATCGGGGGCTGTGTAAGACGCTTAAAACATGGCTTAACGGGGTTTACAAATATGACAATTGTAAAAACTCATCATATTTACTATTTACTATTTACTATTTACTATTTACTACCTACTATTTACTATTTACGTTTTAAAAAATTACTATTATAGCAATTAGTATTAACCATCTTCTAGAAACATTTGTCATGATTACATCATGAATATGTCATATACACTAACTAGTTATATGGAGAATGTCAACATTTAACACTTATTATTAAAGAATTATATATGATAGTAATTCTTACTAGTATAAATACAAGGCTTAAGTCACTCATTTCTCCTACACCATTCTCTCTCAATTTCAAGACTTCCAAGGTTAATCATCAAGCTTCTTTCTTCCACTCTTGGTTCTCGATTCGTCAAGGCATCTTCTAAGTGTTTTTGAGTTGAACACTTCTCTTCTCCAACATTCCATCCTCTAAGAACACATAAGGTGAGTTCATACCCCTACATTACATGTTTTTCTTAAGTTTTAAGGGGGGAATACAAGTAAAATCATCAAGAACACAATTAAACTTTTTCTATCAGATTACATCAAAAAAGATGACTTCGATCACGGACTGTTTTGGTCAACTTAAATATTTTAGTTTTCAAAACTGTTCCAGGTGCAAGTAGTTCAACTCTTAGCTTTTAAAATGGCTACTTGCACATCTCCATATGATTTTTCTACAATTTATGGTGATTTTTACAAAACTGCCTATCATTTCAGAGGCAAAAACCCGGACCAGTCTGTGATTATGAACATTTTCCACCTCTGTTTAGAGATCACTAAAATCATGATAAAATTTACGAACAAACTAGACTCATATTCCAAACTCTCAGAATTTGCGGATTTGGATTTAGAGCTTTGATGATTTTTCTATAAATTTTCTAAGAACAGTAACAGAAACTGTATTCAACGAAAAGTTGCTGTCAATTTCATTTCACCTTGTAACATGTTGAGCAAGGTTGTATATCTTTATGTGATTATATGTTATTGAAATATATGACATTTTATCTTAATATTTAGACACACATCAGTTTACAAAATGGATTTGGACATATAAAATATAAAGAATAACAAGTGATTATAGAAGTACAAACCGATACATTCAAACATTTAATAAACTATTTTGAATATAGTTTGCATACAATATACTACGTACTACCCTTGGTTGATAAACTATAATAGGTATAGTTTATGATACATTACATAACACATACATTTAAAAAGGGTACATTTATACAAAGGATATTTTCATTAAGCAAGGTACGGCCATACGGTACCAAGTTTTCATAACACGTAATTCCGTTAATGACTTTGTGAGACATTTACTTCAAATTACCATTAAGTCCTGTATTGTAACCAGAGTCTCCTTGAGGGAGAGCGTGATAGTTGTGTATAGATCTATATTGGGTTTGACAAACCCACACCTAAACTGCATGCAACAGTTAGACCGATAGGTCTGGGGTGACAAATGTCATAACATTTCCGACGCCTGAAGAACGTCGTTTTAGGCAACCTTGGTCATAGTTATGGTTATAATAAACTCACATAAAGTATTAATAAACATTGGAATTTACGGGAACTTCATTAAAATTTAACGAGTTATGTCGATTTAAAACTTGCATGTTTTACTATAAATATGACAATTACTTGTACATTTCGGTCTTTGGGTTTTAAGACTACATTTACACATTAAGGAAAAATATGGATTTTTCTAACACAAATACTACTTTTACAAACGAAAGGTTTTAATAATACCAAACAAAAGCTTATGAACTCACCAACCTTTGTGTTGACACTTTTTCAAACAACTTGTATTCTCAGGAAAATCATTAAACAGGTAACCAAGTGCTTTTGAGGATGGGGCGCTAAGGCGTCTACTATTTCATATTTTGTCAACATATTGTAATTGATTCGTAAAACTGTAATTCATACAATGATGTCCTTTTTCAATTATATATATGTTGGTTGTGTTTGCTTTGCTTCAATTACTATTACAATTGTTGTTATGATACTATACATGAAGTCATCCACCCCCGGACGTTTCCGCCATCCTTGGTTTGGGGGTGTGACAAATTATGTAAAATAATCTTTAAATTATCAACATATAATATTCACATGTTAAAATATAATATAATTATCACATGTGAGTATACCTTCACACATGAATCAATTCATATGTGATTAATAGTTACATTCATATATGAATAAATTATGACTATTAATAAGTTTTAACATATAATTTAATTATCACATGTGATTATACTATGTGATATTCACATGTGAGTATGCCTTTACACATGAATCAATTCATATGTGATTAATAGTTACATTCATATATGGAGAAATGTTTATGTTCATCAAGAAGATGATGCTAACACGTTTTCTGCAAACTAGGATTTGACAAGTCTATGAATACTGAACAATTCCGTGGATGGTACTTTTTATGCTTTGTTGGTAAAAACCTGTAAACAATTTACCTTGTATACATCCAAATGTACACATTCTTTGTGAATATATTAAAAATCGAGGATACATATTTTCTAGCAAACATTCTACAATCATCAACAACATAAGGATTAAGTTTTGAAGCTGATTTTTTCGACCCAGATTGTTCACCCCAACCCACTTTGTTAACCTTTTTGTCCCTGATTGTTCACCTCAACCCAATTTTTTAGAGAAATTTTGTTATCATATTATAAACTTGGATGAAATCTTTAAAATTAAAACTGATACTAATCTAGTCAATTTTATGATATCCACGTTTAAATGAGCAAAGAAAGTAATAAACTGATAAATCCAAAAACAGTATCTACATATGTAGACATTTGGATCTTCAATCCAAGACATTCTTCTTATTTGACGTCCTGCATATGGGTGTAGTGAGCAATCTACTTGGAAGCCATCAACACCAATTTTTTTTATTACCCATTGACATGACACGTAATCATGAATATATCCTGTGCTTTCAGCCACGTCCAATTTTATTTCCAGAGAATTGTACAGTTTTTTTAGAAGTTGTAGCACTTCTTCACTCTTTCCACGTCCTTCTGCTAAAAGAATTGTATAGGAACTTGTGCCATTTAAAATACATAGCATTTGTTTAAAAATGTTTCAGACTGGCACTACGACAATATTAGTTAACGCCTTCCTGTCTTGTACTCAAATATTTAAAACCCAAACCAGTTTTTTAACAAACTTGTTACCTACATGTGTTGAATCCCGGACCAATTGCTTCATTAAGAGAGGTACAAAGAAAATCAAGATTTCACCTACTAGTATATGGTCGGTCAAACCTCTAGTACTTTGTTCATGAATAAGTCAATACTATTTTAACAAACTTGTTACCGACATGTCTTGAATCCCGGACCAATTGCTTCATTACGAGAGGTACAAAGAAAATCAAGATTTCACCTACTAGTATATGGTCGGTCAAACCTCTAGTACTTTGTTCATGAATAAGTCAATACTATTATAACTCGTCCTCTTAATTATAGCCAACAAACTTTTATTTACAAAAAAATAAAGTTAAAATAACAAATCTGAAAGATCCACAACAGTCCATTCCCTAGGGCAATACAAACAACATTTCATTCCTTCCCAGAACATTACAAAACATGAATTATTTTATAAGCTCCACTCACTTTAGTTAATCTTTTAAAATCGAGACAATTTCTGTAAATTTATAATGGACATTTTTATTTCTGGTGAATATAAAAAGACGCTGGATTGGTTAATACCATTACCTCTTTGTACAACTCATTAGACACACGTTTTAGAGAACATGTTGATCATTTCATTAAAAGAGAAAAAAATGGTAGTTTTTTTGCTTAGAATGTGCAGCTACCAACTAATATAGATATATTCGTCAAGATGGTAAATTGTTTACTTGCTTATTACACTACTGAAAACAATATTTTCAACATCAACGAGCATAACCTCCCAAGTAACTTCGGAGGACGTATACACTTTGAGTGGTTTGCCCATTAGGGGAACTTCAGTAACATTAATAAGTCGGAACTATAGCGCATTTCACGATATGTTTGACATTGAGACAAACAAGGTGAACATTACAAAAGAGGAATTAAAGACACTTGCAATGGATGAAACGAGAAGTGATGACATGAGGATAAAAGCTCTTCTTTTACTTGTCATATATTGTTTTATCATCCCCAGCTGTTGTGACAGAGGATTGTCTAGCAGATGGCTCGGGTTTGTAGGTAATCAACCTCCAGTAAATTCTTATTTAGCCTAAGTCAAATGATGTATGAAGCCCAATTTATTTAATCTGATATTTGATTCATTATATAAACAGAATATCAATTGGAGGTCATGCACAGACTTTAGAGTTAATAACCTTAATCTTTTTGTACCTATGTTTTTCATGAACTATGTGGTCTATCCTAAGCCGCATAGTGTTGCAAAACAGTCAAAAGTGTTAGACGGGTATAAGATTAATGAAAATGTCAGGAAACAATTTAGGAAGCAGGCAAAAAAAAAAAGGAAAACAGGGGCAACTACAACCAAAACTTCATTACTTACTACAATAAAGAGCTTCGCACTTGGAAAACTCGTTAATTGACAAGAGATCTAATGACGAAACAACCCTCCCTTTCTACAGGATCCTTCCCCTAGATACTGATTAGGAACAAAATAATGGGATCTCAAACGAAATCACGACAGGCCCATCCATACCGGTCATTGGGGTCTTTAACGTGTTTTGTGCTGGGACAACATTGTAATGGGAGAGAGGTGTTTGAAACACCAGGGGGCATGGGAGGGAGATGTGTGAGACGTTTCAGAAGGGAAGGGGGAGGTTTGATACAATCCAAGGGTTCAAGGTTGTGTGTTAGGGGAGAAGTTGTGGTCAGATCGGAATGTTTCACTTTCCATTTCATGATCAGTGATTTCGTTTGAGATCTCATTATTTTGTTCCTAATTTGTATCTAGGGGGAGGATCCTGCAGAAGGGGAGGGTTGTTTCGTCATTAGATCTCTTGTCAATAAATGGACTCTCTAAGCACGAAGATCTTTATTGTAGTAAGTAATGAAGTTTTGATTGTAGTTGCCTCTATTTTTCTTATTTTTTTGCCCGCTTCCTAAATTGTTTCCTGACATTTGCATTCATCTTATACCCGTCTAACACCTTTAACTGTTTTGTAACACTATGCGGTTTATGATAGACCACATAGCTTATGCAAAACGTAGGTACAAAAAGATCAGGTTTATTAACTCTAAAGTCGGTGTATGGCCTCCAAGTGATATTCTGTTTATACAATGAATCAAATTTCAGACTAAATAAATTGGGATCCATACATCATTTGACTTGGGCTAAATAAGAATTTACTGAAGGTTGATTACCTATAAACTCGAGCCATCCGCTAGACAATCCTCTGTTGTAACAGCTAGAGATGATAAAACAATATATGACAAGTAAAAGAAGAACTTTTATCCTAATGTCATCACTTCTCGTTTCATCCGTTGCAAGTGTCTTTAATTTCTCTTTTGTAATGTTCACCTTGTTGGTCTCAAGGTCGAACATATCGTGAAATACGCCATAGTTCCGACTTATTGATGTTATTACTGGAGTTTCCCTAATGGGTAAACCAGTCAAAGCGTATATGCCCTCCAAAGTTACTTGGAGGTTATGCCCGTTGATGGTGAAAATATTGTTTTCAGTGTAATAAGCAAGTAAACAATTTACCATCTTGCTGAATATATCTATATTAGTTGGTAGCTGCAACATTCTAAGCAAAAAACTATCATTTTTTCGCTTTTAAGGACATCATCAACGTGTGTCTAATGAGTTGTACAAGGAGGTAATGGTATTAACCATTTCAACGCCTTTTTTATATTCACTTGAAATAAGAATGTCCATTATAAATTTACATAAATTGTCCCGATTTTAAAAGATTAACTAAACTGAGTGGAGTCTGTAAAATAATTCTTGTTTTGTAATGTTCCGGGAAGGAATGGAATGTTGTTTGTATTGTGGATCTTTCCAATTTGTTATTTTAACTTTACTTTTTGTAAATAAAAGTTTGTTGACTATAATTAAAATAATGTACAATTTAGAGTCAAAAAATACAAAGTGTGTATACATATACATAAAAAATTGTTCAATTCCTATAGGCCTGCTAAACACGATTATGAAATATAACGGCTCATTTCATTACTTTGCTTATTCCATTACCCTTTCCATTCCATTCCTCTGTCATTTCATGCATGAGCAAACATATTTTTCCAAAACCAAATATAATTACCTTCATGTATGAGTAACCTGGGTTACTCATACATGAAAACCTAAATCACTTCGCATGTTTAATCTCAAATAATTTTCCATTTCTATATCACACTAGTAAACCTAGTTCAATGTGCTTCGTTTTGGTAGAATCTCAAATTTGTTATGGAATCCATTTAGGTTGGAATTCAGCTGATATATTAAAATGACTTTCTTTCCACGATTTTTTTTAATTTATTTTGCAAAATGAGTGGTCATCTTGTGATAAGCTTTAAAAAGGTGGTCAAATGGTGATAAAACCATCCCATTTTTGGTCATTTTGTGATTATCCCAAAAATAAACATAATAAAAGCTCATTAAAACCCTATTAGGATTATAATCGAAAACTTCTCTATACATAGTTTCAGAAATTAATTTTTTTATTTTGACTAAAATCATGAACTTTTAAAAATAATTATGTAGTTAAAAGTTTATAAATAAAAATAGATTATATTATAGATTTCATGACGAAACAAACTTGGGAGAGGGCGTAGTTAGGGATAGCATCCAACTACTATACATAAAATTAAGGGTATCCTTGCCAGCCATGAAGCGTAGATTTTGAAACTGGAAGTCTAAATCAACAAATTTAAGTCTATAACACAAAGAAAAAATTTATAACCAAATTAAGAATAGCAATGATAGTCGTGTTCTCATTTCCAAAACTATGTAGTATTTCCACAATCTAAAAAAATCAAATATATTTTAAGTGTGCTTGGGTGTTTGGAATTGCCTATTTTAAATGCTTATTAAATAAACAGTTACTCTGAGCACTTGATATTGCTTATCAATTTCTTGGTTTTCAGTTTATTTTGGAACACCTGTAATGGGTATCAATCAAATTAAGAAGATCAATGATAACTAATGAAGAATATAGTTAAGGTCATTACATACACAGAAATCCACAACCCCTTAACTTTTCTTAAACTTGGACCAAATCTATAATTTTGAGAGACACCGGGACCTTTTTTTAAATGCAGAACACATGGACCAATTCTATAACTTTGATGAACTAGGGACGAAATATGTAATTGTATAAAACACAGAGACCGTTCTTGGCATGGTAACATAAGAACATAACCAATTTCAGTTTACCACATCGAAAATTTGAAAACCCAGAAATCTCATTAATCAATCAACAAATTTCAACATGAAATATAAACACCCATATTCACCGAGCCAGAGAAGTTAAATATTTGACTCTCACGATGTATAAGCAAGACACGGGAAGGGCAGAATGGTCATTCGGCAGTTTGGTGCCAGTTATGACAATTGACAGTTATATAGTTATTTTCTGAACAGTTGCCTATGAAAAGACACAACTCTTAGGATTGTATATATATGTATGCATCCGTTTGTTACAATTATTAATCTATTATACCTTATATAACATATTTGGTCAAATGATGAGTTTTAAGTCGTACAAATCTTATTTGAGATATTTACAATCAATTTATGCATTAGAAACTTATTTGGTCAACAAAAATAAACAGTCAAAGCACAATTAAACCTTATCTTCTTCATTTGACGAATCATTCTCTTAATTTCCCTTCGTATCGGCAAATATCTCTCAATTCTGACCCACCTTACCCTTTATCTGGCCTCCTTCTTTCCTTTCTCTAAAAACCCTATCAGCTCTCTTTTTTAGAAAACTCCGCTATTGTTCCTTTTCTTTGTATACACATATTCGGTAAGATTACCATTTACAAGCATTCTCTTGATTTTGTATTTTGTAGCTATCTTTTTTGATTTTGCAGGTGTCATTCTACATCTAGACTCGATTACAGGTATGAAAACGCTCCTCTTTCCTCATTTTCTTTTCTTTTTTCACTTTCGGTAAGTTTAACCTGTTGTTTTTTTCATTATTATTATCGGTTTATAGAGATTTCATTTTTCAGCTACAGATGGAGTTCATGATCTATAAAACATAATGGTTTAGTATTTGGAAAAGAGGTATCGACCAAAAAAAGGAGGACAACGCCAGCTTATCTTTCTGTACAAATATAGATAAACTTATCCATGTTGCAACCGATGTATTTCATGTTGTGAACAGTTGCAACCAAAAGGAATATTTATCGTATCATTGGCTTTTTCTGTGAACATTGGCCAACTACAAGGTATGGTAAGTCATTACTCGATGTATTTCATGCTGAAGTTCTAATTTTGCCTATTTCCTTTATTATTTTTGTAGGTTTTCCTCTTTTTCTCCTCTCTCTCTCTCTCTCTGTCTCTTTATGTGTGTGTCTGTCTGCATACATATAAGCCATCACCATGGTTTTCCATCCTATGATCGAAGAGAAACGAATCTATGGTTTGATTTTGCATATTTGAACAAAGTTTGGTTTGATTTGTGTATGATTGATTTAGTTTCTTCTTGATTTGGTTTACAATCGGTACTTTTATTCTTGATTTTGGTTTACACAGACTTTTCCCTATTTAGATTTGTTGCTTTCTTCTTGATTTGGCTCACAATAAGTTCTTACTTTTTACAAAATTGTGTGATTTTCTAAAGGTTTTGCAGCAACTGGGAAATATGTACTACTCATCATCTACATGTTTCATGGTGAAGTATCAAATTTGTCAAGTCAATATCATCATCATCATGTATCCCTCTGCTAGTGTTGTTTTCAGAAGTTGGCGAGTTGAAAAGGTACTCAATCCATTATGATAGAAGTGGAAGATCAAAGGTACATTGGGTTAAAAAGTGAAAATCCCTTTCCAGGGATATTTTTATCTTTTAATCTCATCAATTTTTCTTCCTAAAAGATGGTTTATATGTGCCATGCAGATGCAGTTGGATCCATGAAGATATATAAAAATGTATAAGTTGATGGAACAATCATGAGACTTGATGTAAAAGGGTACAAGCCTTAGATTTTGTTTTATCTTCGAGAGGAAAATGGAGAAATTCAAGTTCTAAACTCATGGCCTCCTGACTTTGTATGCTTCTTAAAGACCTGATCATTGCTGACAATGGCTTTGCCCCCCTAACTCCTTGAATTTGCATATTTATAGTTGACATTCAAGTAAATTGATGACTTGATGTCAATTAAGCCATTTTTCTGAGTTTTTTTTTACTACAGGGTTGGAAGAACATCTCTAATGATCAAGGCAATATGATGTCAAAAGTTTTTTGGTTTGTAAAACTTGATTCATGCATTTGTGGGTGTATAATGTTATATTATATTAAGACTTTTAAAAAAAATACATTACCCTCATTTGAAAGAACTTGAAGGTACATTTTTTGTGGATGACAAGGCTAAAGAAAATAGAGATTGACATTTCCAAATAGCTTACTTAACCGATTTATGTGAAATAAACATCATACATTTAACAATTGATAGAAAATCTACTTTTGGTCTTTTTTTCTAAATTAACATTCATTTCCTGGATACATAAGTAAACAAAAAGTTTTGAATTTTGTGGGACAACGGGTAAGGATCAACCATATGAGGCCGGGTTTTATGACTTTTCTAATTTTGTTGGTTCATGACTTCATCAAGAACTTATTATGGGCATTGGCAAAGGTTCAACGGTCTGAAACTAGCTGATAAGTTTCCATTACAAATTTAAAATAAAATTGAAATGTTTTCTATAATGTACCTTTATTTCCTTCTGTCACATACATAGACACTTACACATACAATCTTGTAAAGCAAGAAATACCATCGTATTTTCATCATTTACTCTAATGTAACATCCTATTCTCCTATGTTTGTTTGTGTGTGACTGTTCAGACCATGACTCTCATGTGTTCATGGACAAAGCTGAATTTTGGTAAGTTGTAGATTTGATTACACAATTTTGGTAAGTTGTAGATTTGATTACACAATGTTGGTGAGTTTGTGGTTTGCAGCAGATGATCGAGATGTTGATGGCTATAATTTTGATGGTTTTTGCTGGAGGTGAAGGGCTTGCCAAAACAGTTCAGGCGTGTTAGAATTGATGTTGGTGTTACCTACGATACAATAATTAACCAATTAATGGAAGTATGTTGCTATTGCATTTAGCCATTTGTTTTGTTTTGTTTTTTTTTTTTTTTTTTTTTTTTTTGTATATTTGCAAAACCAACCATTTGTTTTATTAGTGGTCATGGTATTCCTTTAATATTTGCAAGTATGTATCTTTGAATAACAAATTTCAATTTGCTCTCTAATAGTTTTGATTTGTTCACTGTAAAAGAGTTAGATACAAGTTTACATTTCATAACCAAATATGAGTTTTTGAAAATGTAGGAATCGGGGATAAGATATGTTAGTTTTAAATGTTACAATAAATAGTTCTATCATATTACACATAAAACACATTTAATACACATGTACAATTTAGAGTCAAAAAAATATAAAGTGTATACATATAATATAAAAAAATACACATGAAAAATTGTTCTATTCCTATAGGTCTGCCAAACACGATTATAAAATGTAATTGCTCATTCCATTACTTTGCTTATTTCATTACCCTTTCCATTCCATTCCATGTATGAGCAAACATATTTTTCCAAAACCAAATATAATTACCTTCAGAAGTTTAAACACTTCTTTATTTCATTACTCTACATTATACATTATTCGTACCCGTTGCTTGGCGCGGGTAAACGGCTGTGTTGATAAAAATCAGTTATTTGGCAATTAACACTTTGTACATTGCGGTTTCCTTATCTTAAATCTAATAAATTGGTATCAGAGCCATCAGATATCATGTGCGAATAACTTCATATACCCACCACAACTTCATTGGAGTGTTCTGTTTGAATCTCAAGATCTTTGGAGAATAATAGAAGATGGGTTTGAATCAAGAAAGAAAGATATATGAAAAACATATAATCCACCAGGCTGTAGAAGAAATAATCACAAAAGAACAAGAGGCAGAGATAAATGAATCAAGAAAGAAAGACAAGAAGGCACTCTTGTATATTTAGCTGTGAGTGTCGTAAAGAGGTGATGGTGTGCTGTAGACGAAATAATCATTGAGAGAATTTCATCATCTGCAACAACGAAGGAGGCGTGGAATATGCTTTTCAGGACTTACAGAGAAGAAGATAGGGTTAAGATTGTCAGGCTACAAACTTTAAGATGTGAGTTTGATAGTCTCAAAATGAAGGATTCAGAGACAGTGGAGGAGTTTTACAAAAGGATCATTTTTCTATTAAATCAGTTAAAGCTAAATGGGGAACACATAGGACATAGATGATCAAAGGGTTGTTGAAAAGTTTATTCAGAAAGTTTGAGTACATAGTGGTTGCTATAGAGGAATCCAAAGATTTAGTAGATCCTCCAACAGACCAAAAGGCCATAGGTGTAAAATGGGTATACAGGATGGGATGTGCATCAAATGGATTCCTGGAACAGGAAGTTTATATTGAACGCCCAACAGGTTACTCTCTACATTAGAGAGGATCAAGAAAATAACAAGAAATAAAGATTTATATCTATTTGGCAGCATTTTGATTCAGGTCTGCAGGTGCAATTTCATATTACCCTTAACAAGAACATACCCCATCGAAGCAAAATCCCACTCCTATTGTAAGTCCACAGTAGGTTCTAAAAACTCTATAATGATCATAAGATACTCATTTTCGAGAACACACATTATAATATATCATGAAAATAAAACACACAGGAAGAAAACATACTAATATATCATGAAATAAAACATATACCGAAGCACATACTAATATATCATGAAATAAAACACATACTAACGCACCCAGATGGAATTGATAGCAAAAATTCAGTGCAAACAAATACTAACCTAGAAATCGACTTAGCCTCACCTTAATGAAATCGATGGAGATTTTTGGTACCAGGGAAATCGATTGAAGAAATTGCAAAGCAGGGTTTTAGTGAGCGGAAGAATTTGGTATATGTGATTGCGTATTTTGAAGGAATTTGAAAGAACTGCTCGAGGTGAATCAGATTTGAATCAAAACGGGCGTTGTATCATGCATTTAATTTCGTGCGTCAAAACAGCGTCAGGGCCCGAGTTCGATGTGAGAGGAAACTGGGCGAGGATCTGGGGGGTCGGGCGAGACGGAAGCGGACGGAGCAGATGCAGGAGCGGGTCGCGGACCGATGAAGTCTGATCAGGCTTCCGGGTTTTAGGCAGGCGCGGGTCTTGGGCTTCCAATCCTGTTTCTTGGGCTAAAGTTGTCATTTGCTTGGACTGGGCTCTTCTATTTCTCGGACTGGGTTCAATCTTCTTTTTTTTTCTTTTGTTTTAATTTAATATAACTTAATTAATTAAGAAATAATTAATTTAAGTATTCCTTAATAATTATTTTAAATCAAACTATTAAATAAAATTTATTTATTTTATTTTAACATATATATATATATATATATATATATATATATATATGAAAAGTATGCGCACATGAAATTTAAAAAATGAAAGCAGGGTTCCTTCAATATCAAAGAGACAGCCTCACGGCCTACTCCTCTCGTGTTCAAGCATACAAGAGGCGATGGAAGGAGCAGAAAATTCAGATGGTGATGGACTCATCTGAAGATTCGACGTAGGGAGGCAAGGAGTCCGGCTCACGACTCCTTCAAAAAGAAGCGCTTCTCGGGAGGCAACCCGAGTTTGGTTTGGATTTTCTTTTCTTTTTCTTTTTAGTTTTTGCATTTTTAGGAAAGTATCAATTCATCATCTACGGACTTTTAATTGGAAAAATTAGTTGTGGGGTACTTAGGAATTAGGTGGACAACAATTAAAGTAAACAAATATAATTAACTAAATTAATTCTTGTGTCCAGACTAAATTCAAGTCGTGGGCTTGTGCTCAACGTCGTGGTTTATGGTGAAATACGGGGACTGACTTGGAGTAGCCCAATTTCTTTATTCCCACTAAGTATAAATAAGATGGATCGGATTAACTTTCAGCCCATTAAAAACCCACGTTGTAATTAAGGCAGTCACGTCGTGGCCTTCAAAAAGCACGTGGGGGGGGGGGGACCAGTCCTTAAACACTTTGACAACATTCTTTCCCCCATTTGTTTACTCCTCTGGTGCACACGAACAACGACAAACAAGCCCAACAGCCGATTTCCGTCATTTTCCAAATCTCTTTAATCTATTGTCCCTTAACTTCATTTGGTATGTTTTTCATCCTTAATTTATGCTATTACTTAAAATTTTATGCATTTGAAGTGGTTAGGGCTTGTTTTGAAATTAAAAATCCCAAATTGGTTGAATTGGCTAGAGATTTCAGTTTGCATGCCCTTAGTTTAGCAAGAGAAACAAACCCCAAGTGTGATTTTTGATGGATGTTGACTGTACAGTGTCCGGTCTGTTCTCACGACCCGACTGCGCACCACGACGTGGAGCACTAGCCCACGTCGTGAATCCTGGGCGAACAGAATATAATATTTTAGGTGTTTTGTTTGGTTTTGGTTTGTTTGTAATTTCAGGTATGGCTCCTAGACGTGCTGTTCAACAGGAGGAAAATGACCCGATCAATGTGGCGAGCATTCACCCATTGTATCGGTTTCCACGGAACATTTCTCGGGCTTTGTTGACCACATACGAAAACCATATGGGATGACTGTATAACAGGGAGTTTGCAATAGCACCCATTGTGGATTGGGGATGGCTGCGTGGTGTGGGCATGGTTGCTGAGTTGGAGAGGTTTTGGACAAAGGTTTACGAGGGGGTTGATTTTTCTTTTACATGTCACGGTTAGAGGAACTTGTTTACAATTCAAGAACCCTTTTATCGGGAATTATCGGTGGAGTTTTTCTCTACCGTAAGCTTTGAAGAACGGACTATGGACTTTGATTATAACCGGGCACTTGTTTTCCGGTTAGGTGGGGTATATCGAGAATGTAGTCTTCGGGAGTTTTCTTGGCGCATGGGGCTATATACGGAAGTGGAGACTCAATCTCCATTCTTTGTACCCTTTTTACTTGGGTGTGTTCAGGATTTTACTCCCGGCATTATGGACGTTCAGTTTTGGCGAACTATCTCCAATCACGAGTACAGTACTCGTGATTCTAGTGAATCGCAGATTCGGAATCCCGTGTATCGTTTTCTTCATCGCCTTGTCACCTTTTCGATCAACCACAAGCACCATGGTGATAAGGTATCCATTCAGAATTTGTTCTTTTTGTGGAGTATTGTTACTCCCGGGGTTTGTTGCGACCTTCCCTACATGCTTGCTCGATTTTTGGGGAAGAAGGCGGCTAATTCTAGGCCCAGGAGTCTGATTACGGGTGGACATTTGGTCACCCGCCTTGCCCGGTCATACAATATTTTGACTCCTAATTTTGTTCGTAACCTTACCCGATTCTCGGACAATGATTTGACAATTCAAGTATTGGGTATTATGAGAGTGGTGGTAAATGTCGGGGGAGGATATGTTATACCCCCGGAGGATGATGAGCAACAAGGAGAGAAACCCGAGCAACAACCTCCGACAAGACGACGAAGGAATGTGAGAGCCCGGGGAGATATGGAGCAAGACCGTCACGCAGCACCACATGCGGGTGGAGTACCCACCGACCCGTTTCAGAGCCGGGTTGGGTCGTATTTGGATAATCTTCGTGGTGGGATGAATTATGACACCCAACTTCTTGAAACCATGTTTTCTCAGATGAGTGTGGTTCGACCACCTTCCGTGCCACCGCAAGGCCCTTACATACCGACTTGGGAGGAGCTTTGGATACCGAGGGGAGATGGAGAAGGACCGAGTGGAGCTTAAGGACGTGAAGATGATGATTGATCGCTTTATATTAGTTTTTATTTGGTTTTTAGTTTTTATTAGCTTTTGTTTGGTTTGGAACTTAATTTGGTTTGTAAGACTTGTTAAATTATTATGTTACTGCTATCTTTCCTTTGGTTGCTATATTTCAGATTTTCTACGGAGTCTAGGGAAGGAAGTTGGGAGTTATGAGCGTTTATGTTTAGCCAAAGGTCGTTTTGAGTTTCAAGTCAAGAGTCGAGACCCACAATTGGAAATAAATGTGGGGTGCGTCAAAAAGAGAGGATGGAGTCAGAAAGGGTCCTTAAAATACT